CACCGTACGGAGTCGGCGGAGGCTGCGGTTGTGAATATCCGCGCGTGAGTTGAGGTTGCTGTGGAGGCGGAGGAGGTTGCGTCTGCTGTTGCTGCTGAGGAGGCGGTTGTTGCTGATGCTGAGGAGGTGGGGGTCGTCCGTATGCATAGTCCTGAGCGTACCCGCCGGATGGAGATACATTCATCCCGTTGCTAGATGAGGAAGCGGGGGGCACCTGCCCTTGACTCGCATACCCAACGTCTTTCGACCGCCCATTCGAAGACTGCCCGTTGCTCCTTGGACTCGGCGGCGCCTGCGCCGACCCAGCCTGCGTTGGTGTCGCTGAAGAGGGAGGAACCGCACCGGGATGCGGTGGTGGTATGTATTGCCCATGTTGATCGTAATATCCGTACGGAGGAGGCGGAGGAGGTGCAGCATAGTGTATGGGTGCGCCGTAATGTGGTGGTGGATGCATTTGCTGAGAAGGGTGAGGCGGCGGAGGTGGACCTCTTGCATCGTGATGATACGCTTGTTGGTGCGGAGGAGGATACCCATAACCTTGCATAGGCGGAGGTGGAGGTGCGCCCCACGCAGCGGGCTGTCCGTACGGCGTCGGCGCATACATCCCATTCGGCGGAGGTGGTGGAGGATGCGAGGGCGCATGCTGAATATGATGAGGAGGCGGATGCCCTGGGTGCTGTTGCGGCGGGGGCGGCGCATGGTGGTACTCCGGCGGAGGATGCTGAGGCTGGTGCGAACCAGGAGGCGGCAGCGGCGCTGCATTCCCATACGAAGCCCTCGCATCATACGGTGCACTAGCAGCAGCATGCTCAGGTGACCCATTCACGTTCGACGAGCTGGCTGTATGCGCCAGGGGTGGGGGCGGAATCTGTTGTTGTTGTTGCTGAGGCTGCGACTGCGGGGGCGCCTGTTGTTGCTGTGGTTGTGGTTGCTGGCTTGGCCCCATCCCCGGGTCCATTCCCCATCCACCTGCGCTCGAAGGCGGGGGTGGCACTGCGGACATCGAGCTCTGCACCGGAGGGAGCGACGACGATCCCGTCGAAGGAGGAGGTGGGATCCCCTGGCCCAGAGAAGTGCTCTCTCCCGTCTTCTGCCTCTTTGCCTCGCGCCCATTCCGTGAGGATGACGGACCTGCACTACTCGGTCCAGCCTCGTCCTCGTTTTCGTCTTCCTGGTCAGAACGTGCTCCCGCCGCCTCGTCCTCCTCCTGCGCATACGGCTGCTGGTCGGGCGGAAGCGGCTGGAACCACGCCGGGTCGATGGCCCTCTTCCGTATACGGACGTCCTTTCGGATGCGGATCTTTATCCCCTGGTCCGCCAACGCACAGGAAAGGTTGGTAGACTCTGCCGGCATGCATGACACGTAAGTAAAAGCATCATCGTCGACGAGAACCAATACGGTGAACGCATTAACACGAAAACGGCCGAGGGGAAGAAATAACGAAACACGGCATGGAAGAGAACGAATGTTATTATAGTTCACGGGTCAGGATGATCACCCGGGAAAGGGGCACCAAACTCTCGTCAATCCCACCAAGGCAAAGGCGAGGACGTGAAGAGCAGAAAAGAAATTTCAAAACTTCAAAAACTCACCCTCCATTCCTGGGAATTTCTTTGCGGTGTAGACATAGAAAGGCGCTGAAAACACGGACTTGCAGTGGTGAACGTTCGGACCAACGACCTCGAAAAGAGTGAGCTTCAGGCGATACGTTCCCTCAGTTCGGACGCTGAGATCCGGGAAGACGAAGAAACCTGCGTCTCTGGCCTGTCCTCGTTCGGCTATTTGGAGCGATAGAGGGAAAGGAACAGAGGCAATATTAGCAAACGTTGAGAATACCGCGGATGACGAGTGGGAAATCCATGCAACTCAGCCCCTTCGTGGCTGAAACGGCTGAGGTCCATGGTACCGGGATGATAGGATTATGAATTTGGGAAAAAGTTAGAAAGACTCACTGACTGCCTCCGGGTCTTTGAGGTGATAGAGGCTGCTTACGACGCTACCGGTGGTACAGCGCGTCTTCCCATCCTTAAGCAAATGAAGCTCCTCGTCGCGGTCTGGTGATGCCAGCGACGCATACATGAAGTAATATGGGTTCTGTAAGAAGGAATGGGAGTATTGACTGGCGAGACGATTGAGATACGGAAGCGAAAGAGGGTCTGGAAACGCACTGTTCGTCTGGGGAGCTGCTTCTGCTGACGCTCTTGTCGATAACTCGTAATTGGATAACTGGAGGCGGGTCTATCGGCCTTCGATCGGCTGTATGATGCATTAGAACAGATTGTCGACTGCTTCGAGGTAGTTGGGAGGAGAGGGGAAGCACAGCATACGACTACGCATGTGAGGAAGGAGGTGGAATGAAAGCTCACCTTTTGTGCCTACCCCGCACATTCGTGCCTGCTTTGGTTCTTGTCTGACGATGAGTTCATACTCTCTATTGGCGATCGCCATTTGGGATATTCGATTTTGAAGCCGGACGAACGCCAGATTGACGGAAGTAAATGGGTTACGATTCGTAAAGGTGGTCGAGAGGGAGCAGAGAGATGGTTTGTCAGAAAGTAGCTCAAACGAGGAGAGAGAGAACGAAAGAAAGCAAAGGGGGGATGCAACAGTCTAGTCGGAGAAGAAGAGAAAAGAACTCGACACTCTCCGACTGGTTATAAAAGCTCGGGAAGATGCTGTGGACAGAGCACAAGCGGGCGAGCGCTGGCGCTGGGAGCGATCGATGGAGGATGCTGGGAGGTGGAAACGTCGTGCGCGACACTTGCGCTGCCACGGACGAGGAGGTAAGGAGAGCAAAACCCGGAGAGGTGGGGATGCCAGGGATTGGGTGTGGGTAGTTCCAGACGGTCGGGCATGGCTACGGCGGAAGGGGGCGGAAGGAACAGAAAGGAGGAAAGATTGGCAATTAGGACGGGAATGCTCACAGATTGTCGCGGTTGTACGCCTGGGGCATGCCTGCGAGGGTGGCCTGGTCGTCCTCCATGATCATCTCTGCGCGATGCACTATATGCGCGTCGTCGCCGTGCTCGTGTTCTGTATGTGCGCTTGCGATCTGGCCGGCTGCGTGCGATCGCTGGGGCCAATCTCGGGGCCTGTGCTGCTGCTGGCGAGAGGGCGACCGCGGGCGTGGGTGGGCGTCGACGTCGTCCGTGCGTGTGGTGTGGGCGTGTGCGCTGTGTGCGACGACGGGGACGCGGGGGAAGACGACGACGGGCGATGGACTGTGCAGAGGAGGGACGAGGGCGACTCGCTACAAAAAGAGCGTTCGCCAGGGCTCCCGTCTGCGCCAGAGCGATGGGAATGCCCCGCCCCAAATCCGGTCTCCCTTTCACACGCCCGATCCAATACCCAGGTCGTCGGTCCTCTCTTCCCTCACAAGCAAGCCAACCTCACGGTGACTGTATGCGCCCTTCCTCGACGCCCGGGAGGAGGACTCTTGCAATCTTATATCCACAACAAATAATTCATTTTCCATCTTCTACTCTCCCGAAGCTACTGCTCTGCGCGCCCTTTCCTTTTTGCTTGCCAAGTCCCGCGTGTCAACCTTGAGTTTGTTCCCCAGAGCTTGTCCTCCAAGGTTCAATCTGCCGTCATGACATGATCTAATCACTCTCCGCGACGGTGCAGTGTCCGTGCTCTCTTTTTCCCGTATTCAATCCACCTCCTCCACGCATGCAACCTCATTTATTGCATTTGTTGCGAAGCTGATACCTGCCTCGACCAGTCCCCTCACATGAGGCCGCAAACTGCCTTGCAATCGCCGTGTTCAAATTCAGTACTCGGTACGTTCCCCGGTAAACGCTGGCTCGCTGCCCCCCCTCCACTCACACACACCCACACCTTCGTGCGGAGATAATCTCTTCGAACTTCTTTTCATTTTGCAGCGCGACGTAAAGCTCGAACGGACTTCACAGCAAAAAAGAAGGGGGGTCGCGCTCCTTCTGGCGTAATCTCTTACTTCACCACCCCAGCTTTACGCCGATCCCGATCACAATGCTCCAAGACAAAGGGACAACGTGGACACCACGTTCTCCTCGCAGACGGCGAGCAGCGGTTGTCGGCGGCGGGCGACGTAATTCGCGAACTAACGTACATTCGCGCCCACCTTGTCCTCAAAAGGCCTCGAAGATCGGCCATCGCCGCATGGAACCTTGTACGTCAAAGCCGTCGTACCTTCGATCTCTGTACATTTCAACCTTACCTCGTGCTCAAATGGAAAAGTACAACAGGCGGTCTTTTATTCCGCGTATGTACGCAGTGAAATGTAAGTTCGAATCTACTTTGGCGCTCCACTAAGTCAGTGAATTTCTTACTGATTTCAAATCTGAACAAAGATCCACATAGAGAGAGAGGAACATCATGTACACGAACGTTGACATTGCAAAGTTTCAAGCTTCAAACTCAAGGCATTTTCAGGCCCAAGTTCATCGGATCTCGTCGATAGCTTCGATCAGTCCGCATACTCGTACGTGTGAGGGATTGTATCTGCATTTTGTAATAGTCACACTTACGAAGCTCTACCGGAGGGATCTAAACAAAAGAGATGCGACACCGCAGTGCATCCGAGTCCACCGGAAGAGAGTTCCGTTCGCCCAGAGGCGCTCACAGAGAACGTAAGTCGTACGAATACTAGTTCTTTACCGCACGCATATACCGGCCTGAGCCTCTCTAGGTCACCGTTCCCTTTGAATTACATTATGGCCCTCCGCAACTGCTTTCAATCACTCAATTGCCTGTGAATGTGCATGTACAAGCCGATCAGTCCCCTTTCCTCAAATAATGAAAGCAGAGCAATAAATATTAATTCTGATTCGGTCTTCAACGAATTGAAATTCGGACCGTCCCAAAATGTATTCTGATCCAAACTACTACTTTTGAAGCAAAAGATCTAAGCAGCTAAAACTGACAAAACGCATTCCGAATCCACTTTGTAGAGATGCACCATCGAAAAAAATTATGCATACAACGAGAATAAAAAAAAGTCAAACATCAAAAAGAATCTCCGGAACGCGGATCGAACGCGTGACCTCAAGATAATGAGCAATTGTTTCAAATTACAGTCTCGCGCTCTTCCAACTGAGCTATCCAGAGCTACACGTGCTGGATGTATTATAGTATATAGTTTCCGCATAACATATTGCTCTTTTTCCTCAATGTTTTGCAACTGATTTCTCGTACCTTATTCCAACCTCCGTTTCCGATAAGAAGAATTAATGCGCTTACAAGATTGGGTGGACAATCACGCCTTATCCTTCGGTCAGAGTATTAAATCGGGATGAAGGTCTGCAGACCAACCAATTTCACAAGTTTGAGGGTTTGAGCTGCTCAGCTGCGAACAAAGTCTGCTTCTACTTGAAAGGCATCCCAAATCGAAGGAGTCTGACAGTTGAATAGTGACACGATTTGGCTCAGATCCATCGTATTTATAATTTATATCCTCGTCGATTTGTCAATTTGACGAAGCCAATCCATGGCATGTAATAGTCATATTCTATAGATAATGGTAGCATGTCTCGCTCGTGATGGAGATCGCTGTTGGCCCGAGAACCACCACGAGGTACCTAGCTTATCGTGAAAGCTCGGGACCCTTCGTCAGACAGCGCAGTCCAACAGCGTGCTTTCTCTTAAGAATGACGAGACAGCGACCATGCTGTAGTTTTTGACGCGAACAATGTCATCAGCGCAGAGTTTGCGAGCGTGCTGAGGGACGCTTGATTGCAGCTTTGCCGCGACAGCCGATATTACTTATCCCATGAGATTTCTTATGTGCTTCGTCGTCAGTGAGAACCCTCTCGACGTCTAGGATCTGTAAGCGCAGTCAGTCAGCCCGAGTGCGATGATAATCGAAATGTCGCGTTTATAGCGGTGATAGGCGCCCAAGGCAAGCTCCGGTCGGGACTCAAAATTTGGTTCTTTCTTGCAAGCGCTGGCCTGCGATCACCTTCTTTACCTCTTTCCACCATCATGATCGACACAACTTCGAGGCTAATTGTTAACTTTCCGTTCAAAGAAGAGACGGTCGTAGTTGGATATCGACAACTCTTCAAGAAAATCTAGTCGACTGCCAAACACCTCGACGCTTATAAAAATAACCGCACACCTCACAAAGCTTCTGAATGGTGCAATTGATCTTTGGAATGTCCTCATCCTCTCCCGTTGGCTTTTTCTCTGGATACGGCACAAAATTCACCACGAACGCCTCTATCATGCGCGCTGGAATCGATATATGTACCACACTCGGCGACAGCGATGTAATTTTGAACTCGGTGCTCGGTTTCCTACCTCCAACATGGCTGAAGACATCCCCAGCAAAAGGCAGAGCTATGGCGAGGACCACAAATCCCAGATCGAAAGTACGGGGCTCCAGGGCGACCATATCGAAGTCTCGCAAGTGGGCACAGCAGTTAGCTCCGTCGACGAAGACAATCCGCTCTTCATTCGGGACCTAGCCTACTCCAGAGAAGAAGAAGCTCGCGTCATTCGTATCCTTGACATGAGACTCTTTCCTTGGATCCTTCTAACGACCTTCGTGCTCAACATGGATAGAACGAACAACTCTAATGCCATCTCGGACAATTTGCCCGCTGATTTGGGTTTCTCGATCAACGTTGTCAACACTGCAACCGCGATCTACTCCGTCCTCTTCTCGATTGCTTGCCTTTCGGGCGCTGTCATTGCGAAGTATGCGGGTCCTTCGAGATGTGAGACCTCAATACGGTACCTTTTCTCTCGAATGCTGTACTAATTATCTTTCTCTCTAGGGATCCCTATATTGATGTTTTCGTGGGGTTTGGTAACGGCTGCCCACGCTCTGATTCAAAATAAATCTGGGTACCTCACAGGTAATACTTTATTAAATAAAATTGCATTCTATACGATATTCTGATGCATCCTTGTCTGCAGTCCGGTCGTGTGAGTTGATACTGCAATGCGATAAGCCCTTCACAACTAATTTCTTCCCCTCACTTGAATGAAGTCATTGCAATCACGGAAGGAGGCGTCATCCCAGCAACGCTAGTCTATCTTGGCGGCTTTTACAAGAGCACAGAGCTCGCTACGCGTCTAGCCTGGTTCTGGGGTGTTCAGGTTAGTTAAGCTTCAAATATTAAAAAGCTGTCTCTCATTAATGAACTATCGATGCAGAATATCGCGAGTGCTGTAAGCGGTCTCATGGCGAGTGGCTTACTCCAGCTCCGTGGGGTTGGCGGCCTCGAAGGCTGGAAATGGCTTTTCATCGTAGACGGCATCATTACGGTATTCGTAGCCGTCGCAACATGGTTCGTACATGACAATGACAATGATCCGCCGTTCTTCATGAAAGCAAGTCAGCTAAAATGGAGTTCATTGCATCGTGTAAAACAGGTTCTATTTGCCTAGGAACGTTGCGCGTACGAAGGGGGGCCTCCGAGGCTTCAAGCCGTGGTTCACCGACCGCCAGGCGAAGATTGCCGTCACAAGGGTCGTGCGTGACGATCCGGCGAAGCGGCTGTATGAGTGAGCGAGCACCGTGTTTTCACCATAGTGCGTTTCATAGCTGATCAGCCGCGCCAACCAAGGTCGACCGTCACTTGGACTGACGTGAAGGACACGATCACGGACCCTGCCATGTGGGGGCATTGGACCATTACCGCCATCGGCCTCACTCCGACGACTCCGTTACAGACTTGTGGGTTGATTTCTCTCTTCGCCAGCAGCAAGGGGCGCATCTCTAACTAACTTCCGTGTCCCACAGACTTACCCACCGTCATCAAATCGTTTAATTTCAACGTCGTAAGTTCTCATAATCCGCTTGAGAGAGTTTGGCCGCCTCATGCTCGTGCCTCCCTGCTCAATCAACAATCAAGTTTGTGGCGAACGCGCTGACGGCACCACCGTATATCCTCACATGCATAACTTCGGTCGTGAACATCTGGCACTCCGACCGGACGCGCGAGAGGGGCCTGCATGGGGCGTTCGGAGGTAGGCTACTTCGTTCTCCCGACTCCGTGCCTCGAGTCGTCGTCCGCGGATAGTGACTAACTACGCATCTTACAATCTTTTCGACGCGAAGCTGGCTGGCAGCTAGTGGGGTGGATCTTGCTTCGTTCGCTCCCAGATAATACCAGCCGTGGGGTAAAGTAAGTCCGGGAAACCGGGAGCAGGAGACGCCTTGATGATGATTCCTAATGAATGGTGTGCCTAGGTACTTTGCTGCCTGCGTCGTGCAGTCCTGGCCCTACACACACCCGCTGTGCATTGCCTGGATGTCCGAAAACACAGGCAGCGTAGGGAAGCGCACCATCGCCTCGGGCGCCATCATCGGGTTCGCGAACATATACGGAAGTGAGTAGTGTAGTACTCAGATTGACGTTCGAAGAATAGACTCATAGACGCATTACCATAAGCCTGGGGAAGTCAGGTGAGTTAATGTTCAGTGTGAAGGCCCGAGCTAGACTCAATTATACGCGCTCGACCTCCAGATTTATCAAGCAAAAGACAGCCCGAGTGCGTTCTGTCGTTGTTGTCGTATTCTTTTTAATCTCGCTCTGACCCTTTTCTTGTGTTCGTGATTCTCCCGCTTAGATTTCCGCACTGGAAACATCATCAACATCGTGTTCGCAGGCATTGCGACGGCTCTCTGGGTAGTGCAGAAGTTTTATTATAAGTATCGGAATGCGCGGAATGCACGGCTGTTGGCGGGCATGAGCGATTCTGAACAGGAGAAGGAGATTAGGGAAGCAGAGCAGAAGGGAAACAGGAGTCCGACGTTCGTATTCACGACGTAATTTGATGCAATGCGTCTTGTCTTGTTTTTCCCCCGTCGGTGGGATCCCGGCCTCGAACTTCCGCAAACAACGTTGCATAGGTACAACAAGATGCTTTAGATACAAATGACAAAGCGGCTGGCTACATGCAATGCGGTGGATGCCAGGCAAAAACGAGATACATACAACAACCAATTGCAACATCAGTACATTGGAATTCTTTTCTTCTTCGTTCCTTTTTGCTCACGAGATATGTAATACTAGTATCCAAAGACGTCTGAAATGAATGACGAAGGCCAATGAAGCGCGCTGCGAACACGCGGCATGTTGTTCAGGCTATGAAGCAGTTGCTGCTGCTTCGTCCGTCTTCGCCTTTTTGGTGGCCTGGATGACGGGCACCTTTGCGTTCCTTGTTCCCACATCTGAGCTGCCATCAGGCTCGATCGTGCGCTTGCGCTTCTCACCCGCCTGCTCGCTGCCAGCATCTTCCGCTTTCGCGCTGTCCGTCCCATTTGAAGGCTTCGCATCTCGATGCCCTCCTCGTCCCCCTCCTCCTCGCCCTCGCCCGCGTCCGCGACCACCACCTTGCCCTCGTCCACCGAATTTGCCACCACGACCTCCTCGTCCTCCTCGTCCGCCAGAGCTCCCTACGGTGCTCTCATACGCCCTCTTGGCCGCAAACTTAGCGCGTTCGATGAGGAACTGTTTCTCATCCTCCTCTGTGTAGTAGGTTTTAATCGGTCAGGGACGTTGCGCGAATCAACTAATAGTAACGTATATGCGAACCTTCTGCCGGTGACCAGGTGATTTCTTTGGAGTCAATAGTTTTGGCTTTTTCCTTGACAAATGCAATGTCTTCCTCCGACAGCGCCTTGTTGAATGCGAGAAGACCATATTCGGAGTCTTTCGTGTATTTTACGAAGGGAGGGCGTTCGAAGCGTTCTGTAAGACGAGACTAAAGAGAACAATTCAACTGAGATTCTAGATAATCAGATCTTCGATTTCTCGATCGCACCTTAAGATCACTCATGTCAAGCGTCGCTCCCTCCAGACCCGTGAATTTTAAAACCGACCCTTTTACGTGAGGGATGTCAGCTTCTTCAATAGTGCCTCCATCCTTTTCGTGAACACGTATTTTGTGACCCATGAACTCGAGGAAGACTTCTGGCTTCGACTTGCTCGAATCACCAGATTTGTTTTGACGCTCCATTTCTTTGAAGGCGTTGAATCCTTTTCTGTTGATGTTGGACTTATTTTGCTCCCTCCGTGCAGTCGCTTCCTTGCCCTTGAGCCCCTTTTCCTTGATCTTCATTTCGCAATAGGCTTCTCTGAGCAAGAAGATCAAAA